AGCTCAACCCCAAGCTCATTCTGGGGCCCCTCTCCCTGGGTGCGGGAGCTACACTCTAGCAACCACTAACCACTGTGGAGAGGAGTTTCTGGAGGCTCAACACCAGTTCGGACTGGTAGGACCAGCTGGTCATGGAGGGGTGGGACCACCAGAAGTGGCTTCAAAACTTCCGCATGCAAAAGGCCACCTTTTTGGAGCTGTGTGCCTGGCTCATCCCTGCCCTCTGAAGACGCAACACCCACCTGCAGCCCATCATCCCCGTGGAGAAGAGGGTCACAATTGCCTTCTGGAAGCTCGCCACCCGAACAGCTTCCGGTTGGTGGGCAACCAGTTTGGCATGGGGGAAGTCCACCGTCAGGGCCCTCCTCATGGAGATAAAGCACTCTGGGGCTGCAATCCATGCAGGGGATTAGGGGGAGTTCTGGAAAAGGACTCAGGAAAGGGAGGTTGAGGGCTTGGGGGGGGGGGGGGGAAGCCCTGTCCCCGGGGGGTTGTGCCTTCACATAGCCCTGCTGCTGCAGGGAGGGGCAGCTTAAAAGAGGATGGCTCCTAGGGTGTCTGGGGGGAAAAGAGGAGGTAGGCACCTCCCTGTGTGAGAGAAACTAAAACCACCTCACCTAAAGATCCCTCCCCGGCATCCAATGAGGCCTGGCTCACAAGAAGTGGCTCCAGGAACAGGGTCACGATCTCCTCCTCTTCCTCCTCTGCCATGACTGCTGGCCAGGCAACGATGGGGGTCTGGAAGCTGGAGTCCACCACGATGGGTAGGGAAGACGGGAAAAGGCTTCTTCCTTATAGAAAGGACTACCAGTGCTGGAAAAACCCTTCTGTTCTTTTGATTTACTTTCGGAAGAACACAATTGCAGTGTGGACGTAACTCAGATTTTGTTGGAAAAATGGCCGTTTTTCTGACAAAACTGTAGCGTAGATATACTGAGTGTGGAACTTTTCCACTTTCTCTCCTGCCCCTCTGGTAGCAGCCACACATGGTTATGGAGGCAGTTTTTACAGTCCTAGTAATATTGTGTTCAATTCTGCAGCCTTAGGATCCTAATAAGTGCCACCTGGCCCTTTCTTGGAAAGTTTTAGCTATTTGTGCAGACCCTTAACAAATCATATGCATTCTTTCAGATATCTTCCCCAGCACCACAGTCCATCAAAGTGATAGAATATGGGGTGAATACCACTTCGGATTGAAGACTGTTCATTTTTTTTTTTGTAATTTAGTGCTCAGACACTCAAACTCCAAACAAGCTGCACTGCACACTATGACAACCATTTGTGAATTCTCCGTTAGTTTCAAAGCCCCTCTCTCTCTAGCCCTTTGGACCAGATGTAGTAGGTAAGTAGTTTTCCATTTATTCCATATATTGGAACAGAACAGAAAGTATTTAAATCGAATAGTTAATATAATTAGATAAACTTCAGGGCTAATATGCAACAATACATATTTTAAATCATATGGCAAAGATGCAGATTTCCGAGAATTCTTTTCCAGGACACAAAAATGAACTACACTTGCAGTCCTTGTTTTCCAAAAATCCAGTTTATTACTCACTGTTGTACCAAATATTGTTTTAAAAAAAGGATGACATTAAACAAGAATGTTTACATAACTAGACAGTTTTAAGTTACTGAGTTGATGAGAACAAGTCTTTCCGAGATGATCCTAGACAGTAATAATCAGTGAAGTATACATCTTGAAACACTGTGTGCTTTGTGCAATTAAAGTTATTTTAAAATATACAAATCTTGTTGAATCTGAGAACTTGTATAAAACAAATCTATTTTAAACTTATTTTTCTAGTGTAGGCATGTGTTAGCATAAGGTTACCAGATTTAACAAGAACATTGCCAGACAGATATGGCATAACATTTACGATTGGTAGTAACAAAAACACTTTATAATAAAGTTTTGTAATGTCAATGGAAATGGTTAAAATATTCACCACTTATTCAAGCAATGCATGCAGCAATGTACAAATAAAATGACTCGTTTTAATTGAATTGTCCAAGCTGAGCAAAAGGTGTAAAATACTCCAGAAATGGTGAATGTAAATTAGATGCTTTTGGCACCAATAAAAGTCACACCAAGAATGAATTTGTTTGGAGCATGCTTTTTTGAACAGTTCTATTCTGGTGTCTTCTTGAATGATGAAACCATAGTTGTGAGTATTACTTTTTATATCCAGTATTTATAAAGACTATTGGGTTCATGGTTGTTTTTTGATGACATTTACCATACACACTTATGAGTCAAAGGTTTTCTTGCAGCTTTAAAAAAAAAAAAAAAAAAAAAGATTCCAAAGCAGTGTCTCAACCTTTTTTTGCTCATGGTCCCCTTCTGAGCCTCATTCATCATACGCCTGGTAGTTAAGTTTGGGTGGCCCCCCTAATGTTTCATTTTTTCCATGTGTCCCCCTAGAAGTATGGTGTGGCTCCCGGGAAGCCATATGGCCCACGTTGAGAATCACTGTTCTAAAGGGTGCAGGGTGCGAAATCAAATTATCTTAAAATATCAATACCTAACATTGAAGATAATTTATTCAAAAAAAAGAGTGAAGCTAGTAAGTCCCTCGGGGCCTCATTTCAGTTGTGAGCGCAGCATAGCTCTATTACTGTCAATGCCAATTTACACTGCTTGAGGATCTTAGCCCTCAATATACAAAGAAACAGAATGGATGTGGGTGAGTAGCAATGCCATCACGATTTATTTTTACTGTGATTTTATTCTGTAGCAAGAAAGTTCAGAATACCTTGGATATTATTAAAATCTTTGATCTCTGTGACAGTCTTGCCTCTCGTGTTGGAAGCGGACATTGCTCAGGGTAAATTGGGCGCCATTGCCATACACACTACTGATTATCTAAAATACCTTTAACATTTTCATCCTTGTGCAGACTATTTATCACAATTTGATCTTATTAAAAAATATTCTGAAGTCTACTTACAGCAAATAAAATATAAAGCTGCATCTACCTTTTGAAGTTATTTAGACAATTAAGGTTTTGAACTGACTTGTAGCCATGTGTAGAATTCCCATTGCTATCAAAGGCAGTTTTCCACACAGACACAGAATAACATGACCCCCTTTGTCATGTATCATGTGTTTAAAAAATTCATATAATACAGGTTAAAAACAATTTCCATCCTAAGGCATATGTGGACAGAGCAACTCCTACAAGCAGCATGACAAAAAACAAAACAAAAAACCCCACCATAAAACCCTTAATTTTCTCCTTTTTTTTTTTTTTTTTTTTTTTTAAACAATGAAAGGGAAATTTTAGTGCACAAATGAATCCTGGGAGCACAGCAAAGATGAGTATTATATCCAGGGTAGCAAAGGTTAACCAGATGAAAACTTACTGAATTCAGGAACAGCTAGTTTATAACACAACCATGAGGTCCCAATCTTATATACATGATACAATACTAAAGTATTTTAATATGTAAACTTTAATTATGCTTGAGCAATACATGTTTACTTTTCCTTAGGGATCTGCCTGTAGTCGTACCTGTGAGTATGTAACAAATTATATATTAATAAATAATAGGATAACAGTGGATATCATACTTGAGTTGTTTTTTTAAATGATAAAATTATCAGTGCTGTCTGTGTCCATACTTCATGCTGTATTTTGTGACACTTCTGCTCACAGAAATAAATGACTGATTTCATAATATGATTAATTTTATAATGTGACTTGTCTCCTTTGCCTTAGGGTTCTTTCTCTCTCCAGTGGTATACACCTAAGGCTAGATTTTACAGTAGGCATTAGTAGCCATATTGTATAAAATGGTAGGCAGTATTCACCATCTCTGATGTACTTATACTGAAGTTCACAAACAGCTGAGGTACAAATTATATCTAGAACACTAAAAGTAAGTCTTGGAGGTCATGTGCTCAGGATATAGGAGTCTATTCTACTGCATTTGCATTACAGTAGTTATCCTATATCCTGAACTCCTGATCTCCAAGCATATTACTTAAGTGCTTACATACAATACTAATCTACATCCCTTGGGATAGTACATTTAGTGGGTACTAGTCCAATAGGAGGAAATACACTTTTGAATATTGTTACATCTATACAATACATACTGTTTTTTCTTTTCAGTTCAACATAATGTTTCTTCCCACATCATCATCGAGTATTCTAGTTTGAAACTGTACTTGTAAATTAAAATCTCCTATTTAAATGTATACAGGTAAGACATAAAATACCTTGTTTTAGTTATACAGTATTTTTTCACTGAAGAAAAAAATGAAATAAAACTGTCTACCTCAAGCCAAATAAGAGGAAAATGTGAAGATGAACGCTTAAGGACTACACTACTAAGTTTTATATTAAAAGCAAAACACAATAGAAAAGTAGAACACCAGAAAGAATGCAATATTATTGTATTCACATCACTTTAAGAAAAGCACCTAAAATATAAACTTCAAAGCATAGGAAATGAGTACAGGTAAAAAATCTACATACCACGGAATTAATGCAGGATTTACACACTTAAAACCACCCTAAATGTTTTGATAAACCACTTTCCTTAGCAAGAAAAAAAAAATAGAATCAGCTACTTCAAGTTTAAAAATACCTATCCTCTGCAAAGTATGACACCGCCCTTTATTTACAGATATTAGTACTCTGACAAACACTTATCTCTTTATACATGTTTCTGCTAATGTCCTAAACTTGGGTTCCAGATGATCTAAAAAGTCAAGCGCCTCCTCTTCTTGCTGATCAGTGCAGCAGCCTACAGAACCAGCCAATGATCCTCTTCCTTCATAATTATATGGAAGGACATAGTCTTCAGAATGCTTATTTTCTTCATCCTGTCTGCACATATACACCTTCTGCATAATAAAACAAAATATACTATTAGTTTTCTTAAACTGTTATCCTAAAAGTATGGCATAAAAATAATTTTTTATTTACCTTTTATTGTTTAATTTTTAATCAGAGTGTGTCCTCTAATGGGTTCCTACATACAAAAAATGCACATAATTGGTCTATATCTTTCATACTATAAAATAAGTATTTAACAAAAATACTGATCACACACACAATAATAAAAATGTGAAGAAACTGGTTAACCTGTTAAACAATTCAAAACCATTGGAAAATGAGATTAAAAGCATGATTTATACATAATTGGGGCCCTACCAAATTTACAGTATCAGTTTTAATATTGGCCAATTTCACATTTTCAGACATTCCGGGTATATCTAAACTACACCCTTCTGTCAGCAGAGGAATGTAAATTAGACGTATCAAAAGCGCAAATGAAGCCGTGATTTAAATATCCCGCGCTTCATTTGCATAAAGGCAACCGCTGCTTTTTTTTCTAAACGAGGCTCTTCATAAAAAAAACAGCAGTTTAGACGGGGCATTTTTGATAGAAATGCCTCGTTTCGAAAGATCCTGTATACCCCTGCAGCATGAGAAAATACTCGGAGGTGGAACTCATATACCCACCTCTGGCAGTTATAAAAGGGACAAACAAATCCTGTCTCTGCCCACCCCAGCCAGGACTTGCAGCTAGGAGTCGTTCCCCTACCCCCAACCCAGCTGGAGTGCTCCCAGCAGCATGGGGAGATCAGCTTTTACAGGGAAGAACTTATTTCACAGTCTAGGACACATTTTTCACTGCCAAACACATAAAACTTGGGATTTGGTGCATTTTGTACATACATTTTCTAATGTTGTATAGCAAAATATGCATCACATCTAGTATGTGCATGAGGCCTTAAATTATCATTTCTTGGAAGCACTTAGATAAAAACTGTGTAATGAACAGTAGCCCAAAACCAAGTATGACTGTTCACACACAGGTTGCATTCTAAATGGAAAACAGTTCTGCTTTTTTAAAAAGTGAAGAAAATCATTTACCCAACTCTAATAAATTCCACTGAGAACCACACCAAAACAAAGAATGGTCTAACACTCACGGAAGGCGTGGGGTAAGGGGAGGAACTGTTGTAAATTTAAAATAGTGCAATACCTAAGACAGATATCAAAATACTTACTTCGCCTAGACGAGAATGTGTGAAATTGTGCCATTCTGAGTATGAGTATCTGCCTTGTTCCATCATGGCCTGTCCACGTTCATTGAGGGTCTGATGTCCTTTGGACATTTCAAAAGCATTTCCCCCTGTGCTTACTTCATGTCCGCCCATGCTAACCCCATGTTCACAAGAATGTACAGGTGCAGCTTGTAAAGGAATTATATTTGGATCCTAAAAGCAAAGATAATAGTGGGGAGGAAAATCTTACCAAAATACTTCAGGTGTAAATTTTTCCTAACAAAGAAATATTTCCTTTTCTTTAGGCACCTTTGCTTTTGAATATGTAACTTGGAAAGGATACAAAATGGTCAGTGCTTAAACTGAAATGTCTCAGTTCTGTCTGCAAACAGTATTGTACTGAATCCAGGCTGAGCACGCTCCCTGATATCAAAAGAAATTTGTGGATAAATCATGAACAATTGAAGGCCTTAAATACATATAGTTTCGAAAGCGTCTTACAATGACCACTTTGGGAAGCAAAAAGCACTCAGATACTTTTGTATTACAAATCTTTGGCTAGTATGCCATAAAGTATTACATCAATAAAATTTTATTTAGATTGCAAAGTCAAGCACTAAAAAGCTGCAAAGCCAAATTTTTGGTTGTTTGTACAACCTTCATTTTGTTCCCTTGGGCATTTCAACCTTTGCACTGAAAGAGGCAGGAGTCCTGTAGAAAAAAATTGTATATAATCACATGATTAAAAGACAGACATTAACAATACCTAGGCACAGGGTGGCCAATTTAAGATTATACAGGCAACTGTAAATCTGATATTTCCTAACTTTTTGAAACCCAAGAAAGATTTAAGGTGATTTTAAGAGGGAAAAAAAACCAGGTGCTATTCACAATTATAACACCCTTCCAAACAATGCATCATTATAATTTGCATCCCGAGTTTTAAACTTGAGTGCTTGACTTTACAACTTTAATGTTGTTTTAACCAGTTGAGAGAGTAGTTGAATGCTGTTATCCTCTGTGTGGATCAGCCACTTTCATTAAATTCCCCTGCTGGAAGCCTCAGGCAGGCGTGGGCAATAATTTGATAGGGGGCCACACCAAGATTTTGGAAAGTGGTTGAAGGCCACGCTCTTGCATAGAGGAAGTGTGGGATCTGGGATGGTAGTTGGGTGCAGGAAGGGACTTGGGGTAAGATTGAGATTCAGGAGGGAGAATGGAGTCTGGGAGTGAGTTTGGGTGAAGGAGGCAGTTGTGACCCAGGACAGGGAACTGGGATGCAGGATTTGGGGATGTGACCTAAGATAGGAGGGGATTGTGATCTCAGGCAGGAGATTGGGGTGCCAGATCTGGGAGGTGGTATGGGTGCATGTGGAATAGTGGGGCAGGAGTGGGGGCCAGAGGCAGGTTCTGGCCAGAAGACTGACCAGCCAGCAGCCAAACCAGCCTGCCTCCCTGCAGAGCTTAAATTGTTTCTGACTGCTCAGCCATGTGCTTGAGTGAGTAACTGAGCAGAAGGATTGTGCTCCTTGGCTGCCTGTTATCCAAACAACCAGCTCCCATTGGCCAGTGTCTGTCCAGAAACCGGCCAGTGGGATTGTGCTGTGGGCAGGAGCAGCATCTGAATCTTTCTCCCTCCCCTCCCGACTCAAAGAGAAAGCATCCCACAGCTGTGTTTGAGTGATGTCCAGGGCAAGCAGAAGAGATTGCCTGGAGCTCCCCACTGCCTCCGTGGGCCGGATCCAGCCCGTGTGCCTTATTTTGCCCAGGTCTCTCTCGGCTATTAAATACATCCCCACCTCTTCAAGATTTGACACACCTATCTTTTTCCTTTCTAACCCCTATCTCTATTTGAAAATAAAACCCGCTTTGCAAGTGATCAATACATTTACTAATCCATTATCCTAATTTTTTCTTTTCACTTACTGATTCACAAATTTGCAAGGCTTCTCTGTTACACTGTGGTGCTAAAATACCTTCAATGCCACATTCCTATATTTAAATAAATAAAACCACAACTCACCATCACTTCTTCTCCTGGTGCTTCTGTGTTTGATATAATTAAGTTCTGATTAGCTAAATCATCAGTCACATGTTTATGCACTATTGTCCTGCCATAACAGCCACAAAGTGTAATCAGGATTACTACAAAACAGAAAAAAACATTTTTTAAAAACATCTTGAGTATAAGGTACTTGATTTTTGTGCATGTCTGAGAAGAATATATGCATAGCCTAGTACTGATGAAGTACTTAATATTTTATCTCCAGCAAACCCAAGTGTGATTAGTGACTAGCAAATTTTAAGCCTATAAATATTCTGGTATTCAAAAGTCATATTTGAAAACAGGGTGCATTGATTTAAATCAGCAAGCAGGAAACCCTGATTTAAATAATTTATTTTGATCTTGTTTATTGATGGTGTTCGATTATTTTCCCATACGGAGGTTAAGTCTCCATGGTTAGCAACCAAGTTTACATTCAACTAAGTATTGCCTTTACACTAAATTTCATACTGCTTTTTGCTAATATAGCATACATATACATTTATGTAAGCAGCTATATTAACATGCATACATTTAGATTTCTGAAGTTTACATTTTCTCATTGTTAGAAAATGATAAATATGTTATTTATCAGAAATGCACAAACTTTAGTTAAATGGAACTCTCAAATATTCTGGATACAAACAAGAAAAGTTTTTAAAAAGTCAGTTTTAAATACAAAATGTGTTTGATAAATAAAGTATTAGCTGTAATAAACTGAACAGTTTATGGTTACCATGTCCATCCATATTTTAGAACTAGTAAACCCTGTTACTCATATATCAAGATTTTATTCCCAGTCGGACTAAATCAAATATAATTTACCTCGATATGAAGCTACCAGACCTGAGGAATCTCCAGCTAGTATAGAATGGGGCAACCTGTCTCCTCAGAAACATAAGCACATCAAGACTGTTGCCATTTACTGCACTGGCTTCTCATAAAATACCATGTCAGCTTCAAGTTCCCAGTCCTCTATTTTCAAAACACCTTGATGGTTTAAGCCACAACATGTATGTTGCACAAAGATGCAAGAGGAGGACTCCACATCTCTGGCAAAAATCAAACTGAAAACTGACCATTACAAGAGTAAAGCTCACCTGTGCAGGCAACAAAGCCTTCTTATAAGCTTTGAAATGAGATCTTGTGAGAGTTTAACACAACATCACAAACTTCACCCACTTCTATTCCAAATACAAATGCAAAATGAACAACATGTAGCACAGCTAACATATGCTCAATAAAATAACTTGCGCTGTTGATTAACTGCAGCTAATGCACATGATTAACTAAAAAAATTGTGTTAAAAATTAGTTCTGATTAAACACCGTTTTAATCCCACTGTTACATAACAGGATACCAATTGAAATTGAATAAGTGTTTTTCTACATTTTCATATAGATTAATTTCAATTACAACATAGAATACGTGTGCAAGTGCCTAATATTTTATTATAAATGTTTGCAGTATAAAAATGATTTTAAAAGTCTTTCAATTTACTTAAGTATACTATAGTGGATTCTCTATCATGAAAATGCAACTTACAACATAAATATTTGTTACATAACTGTACTTAATACAAAACAACGTAAAACTTTAGAGGCTACAAGTTCAATCAGTCCTTCTTGTTTAGTCAATTATTATGACAAACAAGTTTGTTTACATTTACAAGAGATAATTTTACCTGCTTGTTTACACTGTCACCTGAAAGTCAGAAAAGGTATTTGCATGACACTGTTGTACCCAGCGTTGCAAGATATTTACATGCCAACTCATATATTCCTTTATGCTTCAACTAGAAGACAGGTACACAAAACAGAATGCCATATATTTCATGTTACAACTGTCTTGACTGAAATGAGCAATAGTTTTATCAAGAACACTTTCACTACAGATTTGACAACAGAAAGAAGGTACCAATGGGAAATTTCTAGAGATAGCTACAGCACTCAACCCAAGTTTTGAGAATCTGAAGTGCTTTCCAAAATCTGAGAAGGATGAGATGTGGAACATTCTATAAGAAATCTTAAAAGAGCAATACACTGATGCAAAAACTACAGAACTCAAACAACCAAAAAGACAATCTACTGCGTGTAGGTGGCATCTCACTCAGATGATAAAAAAACATCTGTCAGTCCATGTTTCTTTGGATTAATACTGAGCAGAACTAATCATCAGCATGGAAACATAAGAACATAAAAACAGCCATACTGGTCACACCATAGGTCCATTGAGCCCAGTGTCTTCTCTTCCAACAGTGGCTCATGCCAGATGCCCCAGAGGGAGTGAACAGAACAGATAATAACCTCATGACCCTCCTCCTGTCATCCATTTCCAGCCTCTGACAAATGGAGGCTAGAGACACCATTTCTACCCATCTGGCTAATAGCCATTGAAGGACATAATCTCCATGAATTTATCTAGTTCTTTTTTGAACCATGTTAAAGTCCTGGTCTTCACAACCTCTTCTGGCAACAAATTCCACAGATTTACTGTTCACTGCGTGAAGAAATACTTCTTTGTTTGTTTTAAATATGCTACCTATTAATTTCATTTCATGATCCCTAGTTTTATATTATGGGAACAAGTAATTAATTTTTCTTATTCACTTTTTCCACGTCAGTCATGATTTTATAGACCCCCCCCCCCCCCCCCAACCCCTTTAACTGCCTCTTTTCCAAGCTAAAAATCCCAGTCTTTTTAATCTCTCTTCCTATAGGAACCATTCCAAACCACTAATCATTTTTGTTGCCCTTTTCTGAACCTTTTCCAATGTCAATATATCTTTGAGATAAAGCAACCACATCTGTATGCAGTATTCAAGGTGTGGGTTGGTTTTATATAGAGGCAATTAGATACTGTTTTATTCTATATCCCTTTTTCATTGATTCCTAATGTTCTGTTTGCTTTTTTGACTGCTGCTGCACATTGAGTGGATGTTTTTAGAGAATTATCCACAATGACGCCAAGATCTCTCTTTAGTAGTTATAGCTAAATTAGTCCCCATCATATTGTATGTATAGTTGGGATTATTTTTTCCAGTGTGCCTTACTTTACATTTATCAACATTAAATTTTGTTTTGCTATTGTGTTGCCCAATCAGTTTTGTGAAATCTTTTTGAAGCTCTTCACACACTGCTTTGGTCTTAACTACCTTGAGCCGTTTAATATGTTCTGCAAATTTTGCCACATGTCCTCTGGAATGGTGGCTGAAGCATGAAGAAATATTTGACTCTTTAGCACATCCAGCATGTAAATATCTTTCAACCCCAGATACAAGTGCCATGTGAAAGCCTTTCCTGATTTTTAGAGAAGATATTTACCATGTTACCTAAGTTCAAATTTCATAATAGTATTTTCAATTTTCCCATCTCTTTTGTTTTTAACAGTACAAATATTTATCAAAAATAAATATGATGTGAGCACTGTACCCTTTGTATTCTGTGTTGCAATTGAAATATTTTACCAAAAATGTAGAAAATATCAAAAAAATATTTAAATGATATTTTAGTATTGTTTAACAACATGATTAATTTTTAATAGCATGAAAGCCTTAAAAATTAACTATGCAAAATCCCCAGACAGACATCAACTTCCCCCAAAGAAAAGAAGAAAAAGAACCTCAAGTGACAGATATCATATCATATAATGTGCTTCTGGAAAATGCTCAGATACTATGGCAATGCAGGTTATAAAAATCTTAATAGAAGAGGGTGTGTCAATTTACCTAATTTTGAAAAGAGAATATTTTTCATTTCATATAAATACTAATATACTTACATAGCAGTAATAGTGCCCCCAGAATCATTGCAAGAATGGCCCATACACCAAGAGTAACAGCTGGTGCATCTTGTCGGCTCTTATAACAATCACTTGGAGTAGTACAGTCACAATAGTTAACTGTAACCATACTTATTCCTTCTTTTCCTGCATTATCTTTTACGGCCATAGGAATTTTATATATTCCAAATGGCATATCCCTCATTAGTGAAAGAAATATAGATGAATCTGCAAAGACAAAACAAAACAAAAGTTTTTTGTGAGGGTGCAGGGATTTGGGTTGGAATATGTGAGGGGCTCAAGGCAGGGGGGTCCAGTGTACGATAGGCTCAGATCTAGGGTCAGGGGAGGGAAGGTGCAGGAGTGTTATGATGCTGCGGCCAGACGGGGGCTTGGCCCCAATTGAGGGGGGTGTTGCCCAGACTTCATTTTTAAATAAAATACCATGTCAAACACAAAAAGTTTCTGCATTGTCTTTATTTATGAGAAAGGCAGGGAACCGGTTTTGAGTCACGGGTCATTGACCCACAGAAAAGTCAGTTGGGGGCCACACAAGTAACTCCTCCAAAAAAAACCCAAGCCTCACTAATGTCGCCCCAACTGTGCTGGTGGAAGCAGAGAACATGATACTGGGGAAGGGTGCTAGGGCAGGGTGCTAGTGGGAGTAGGGGACAGGGTTCTGCAGCAGGGGACAGGATGCCAGTGGCAACAGGGGACAGCGTGTTGCTGGGGGCAGAGAACAGGGAGTCCCCTGCACCTACCTCCTCCCAGGACTCCTCCCCTTACCACCACCCCCCACAGAGAAGGGAAGCCCCGGCGCACACTTCCTCTAGGGACTCCCCAACCCCCGCAAGTTCCCAGCATGCTACAGACCTGGGGGAGGGGAACAGCCAGCACACTTCTGGAATCCCCAGAAGTGGTGCACAGCTACAGGACTTCCGTCCACCCTGCAGGAAGCTGGCACTAACTCCATTGTCGCTGGAGGTAGGTAGTGGGGCCCCGAACGACTCACAATCGACTGGTTGAGCCCTCGCGATTGACCAGTCAATCGCAATTAACAGGTTGGTGACCACGGTTCTAGCTTTAAATTACTGAATAGGAAACCAGTTACCATACAATTAAGTTTGGTCACTGACACAGAAAACAAGAAACATGTCTAAAAATTTACACCCTTTCTCCAAGTGCACTTTGTTAATGATACAGGAAAGGAAAAGTGAAAGCTGCATAATCCTCTTCTGAAGGTCCCTGGTATGAAACTTTGGTGGGTTTTGTTTCTGCTTCTTCTCACTCTTATTGATTTTTAAGATCTTTGGGAATGTCTACACTACAGCGCTAATTCGAACTAACTTAGTTCGAATTAGTTAATTCAAACTAAGCTAATTCAAGCTAACGGATCCAGACTAAAAAACTAGTTCGAATTAGCGTTTTGCTAATTCGAACTAGCATGTCTACATTAAGTGGACCCTGAACCGGGGTTAAGGATGGCTGGAAGCAGTGCTGGCAGGGCATCAGATGAGGACTTAGAGCGTAGAGATGCTGCCTCAGGCTAGCCGAGGGCTGTGCTTAAAGGGACCCGACCCCCACCCCGGACAGACAGTTCTCAGGGGTGCCCTGCTTGCAAAGCAGTCCTGGCTTGGATTGCCCGGAGTGCCCACACTGGGCACATCACAGCACTCGGCCATCAGCCTGGCTGCACTTGCCGCAGGCTGCCATCTGGGGAGACGGGGTAATTGGGGGGCTGCAGGAGAGCTTCCCCCCGCCAGAAGCCCGCAGAGCCAGCCCAGTCCTCCCCATCGGGGGCTTGTATCCCATTCCTCCCTCACCTCCTTCCACTTACCCCTCCCTAGCCCCCCTTCCTGGTGTACTAAATAAAGGACAATTGTGTTCAAAAATAGAATCTCTCTTTATTGAACAAAACTCGGGGAGACTGGGAAAAGGAGGTGGGAGAGGGGAAGAGAGGGTGCGAGAGGGGAGGGCAACTACAATGATGAGGGGTTTGGAACAGGTCCCATATGAAGAGAGGCTAAAGAGACTGGGACTTTTCAGCTTAGAAAAGGAGGAGACTGAGGGGGGATATGAAAGAGGTCTATAAAAGCATGAGTGGGGTGGAGAGGGTGCATCAAGAAAAGTTCTTCATTAGTTCCCATAATAGAAGGACTAGAGGACACCAAAGGAAAGGAATGGGTAGCAGGCTTCAAACTAATAACAGAAAGTTCTTCTTCACAAAGCAAAGAGT